GTTTGGTCTTTTAAATTTTAAATTTTATTTTTGAAATTTTAAAAAAATTATTTATTTATGTATTTTTCGTTTTAAATAAATCTAAATATATTTTTTTTAATAAAAAGATTTCATATTTTTTAAACTCATGTACATATGTATATGTTGATTCATACATAATAATCTTGTGAGACTGTCAAATGCACTGTTACGAAAACAAAAAGTACTCCCTCCGTCCTAAAATTATCTTCTCGTTTGTATTTACGTGGTTTGACTGACTTTATTTTCAAATCAATTTATTTAATTGTAGATGTAAAATTAAAAAAATAAAATTAATATATTTAAAAACTATATCAAAAGTTCTACAAAACAAAGGGTGTCAAAACTAGTATTTTATTTAATTTGAAGTATAAATTTACTAATTTTGACCAAAAAAATTAAAAGTGGACAAAAATACTCAATGACGAAGGAAGCAAAAAATAATAAACTGAAAAAGTATTCAATGTAAAACAGAAATAATTATTTTTAAAATCTAACATAAGAACTAAAATGGTAATCTAAAAAATGTCTATGAGTCAGAGTCATTGGCGAGTGAATGTCGTGGAACTATGAATTGACTTTTCGTACAACACCGCCTACAGCGTATTTGTCATTGTGGCCGACGATGAACCAATGATGTACTTTGCTCTAGAGGATCTTGTATTTTATTTCCTTGAGTCAAGTGTGAAAAAAGTCTTCAAATAGGATATCTGGCGGAACTCAGGGCGGTGGAGGATGTGAAGAGGACGCCCCATCCTCGAATGGTGGCTGTAGGGTAACAGGTATATATAATGATGGTGAAGCCCGGGGGACGTCTGAGGTATGGTCGGCAATGTATGTGTCTAGATCATCGTCCTCTTTCTCATCATCTGATGTCTCTGTGAAGAAGCCATCCGCCTAGTGTTGGTTTTCACAATGGAACACGTGCGCACCATACTCCAAACCCGACATAACAGTGTGCATGTAAATCGTGAAGTTCCAAGTACGTAAGGCGTCCAAATGAATTAGACACATAAGCAGTAAGTAATACATATAACAAAAATTTCATTGGATGAATGGATCCAATGGTGATTGCACACTAATATACAAATACAATTTTCAAATAATAGATATTAATCTACTGATGAGAATAAATAATGTTAATTAGAATGTACGAAATACATTGCCTAACACTGAAAAGGTGCTCCAACGATGTCATCCAAGTGTAATAGAACCTGTGGTCTACACATTGGAATGTGCTCCCAAGCCCTAATCTGTAGTAGAACAAGTGACCCTCCAATCTGTGTAGTGTTAACTAATGCTCGTAAACAAAGATCCTCCCATAATCTTCAGTATCAGAGTCTAAGCATGATGCATAATGTCGAGATCAGGGCTATGGTTATCCACTCTAATGAGTCTAGACGCTCCACCGCCCTGAGTTCCGCCAGATATTCTATTTGAAGACTTTTTTTCACACTTGACTCAAGGGAATAAAATACAAGATCCTTTAGAGCAAAGTACATCATTGGTTCATCGCCGGCCACAACGACAAATACGCGGTAGGCGGTGTGGTACGGAAAGTCAATTTATAGTTCCACGACATTCACTCGACAATGACTTCGACTCGTAGACATTTTTTAGATTATCATTTTAGTTATTATGCTAGATGTTAAAAATAATTATTTATGGTTTACATTGAATACTTTTTCAATCTATTATTTTTTGCTTCCTCTGTCCTTGAGTATTTTTGTTCACTTTTTATTTTTTTTGGTCAAAATTGGTAAACTTAGACTTCAAATTAAATAAAATAATAGTATTGTCACACTTTATTTTGTAGAACTTTTGATGCAGTTTTTAAATATATAAATTTTATTTTTTAGTTTTACACCTACAATTAAATAAGTTGAATTGAAAATAAAATCGCTCAAAACTCGTAAATACAAACGGGAAGATAATTTTAGCTTGGAGGAGTACTTTTATTTTCAAGTAGCACTTTTGACAGTCTCATAATATTATTATATATGAATCAACATATACATATGTACGTGGATTTAAATCTATGAAATCTTTTTATTTTAAAAAATCTATTTAGGTTTATTTAAAATAACAACAACAACAACAACCCAGTTGAATCCCACAAGAGTAGGGTCTGGGGAGGGTGTGTGTACGCAGACCTTGCCCCTACTTGAAAGTAGAGAGGCTGTTTTCAAAGAGACCTCCAGCTCAACATCGAAAGTTGCATTGCTTGACTAACTGCTACTTCATTAATTAAAAAAGCGCAGATAATTTAGAGATCCATTTTGATTTATTCCATCACATCCCAAAGCCAAAAAATAGTGAAATTTTGGCTACATCGAAGATGATGGAAAAGGAAAATAACAAAAAAATAAATAATTTTTTTAAATTTAAAAAATAAAACTATGACCAAACGGTAAATGATCTACCGTTTGAAAAAAGTCAAGAGTACCCCATTATGTCAGATTCACCTTCACTTGTTGGGAATGATTTTTAAAAAATTGCACTGATGAGGAATTCACCCCCCCCCCCAATTTTAAACACGTACGGAGTAATTATTAGTGGATGATTATCACTGTTAATTACTCCCTCCGTCCGGAAATATTCTTCCCACTTTCTTTTTTAGTCCGTCCGGAAATATTCTTCCCATTTCTTTTTATAGTATACTTTTTAAGGATAAATATCAATAATACCCTTCTATTTTATCACAAATCTATTTTTTTAGTACTTTTTTAATAATAAAAGGAGATTTAAAAGTTTATAGTATGTTCATTTTTGAAAATTTTGCATTTTTTTTACTATTCCTTAATAAGCGTGCCAAGTCAACGTGAGAAGAATATTTCCGGACGGAGGGAGTAACTCTGAGAAAATAGTCAAAACTCAAAACTCGAGAAATTTGGGAACCTTAATGTGACGTCCCTACTATTTGTGTCCCATTAAAAATGATTTCTTTTTTCCTTGAAAAAAAAATCAAATTAAAGTGGGGTTTTAAGGAAAACTACTTTTGATCTTAATAGAAAACTCTTTACCAATCATGTATAATAAGTTTTTAAATTAAAATTATTTTAAGATATATCAAAATATTTCAATCAAACAAGATATAAATTTCAAGAACGAGTATGTGATTGTTAGATAATAAGAGTATTAGAATAGTAATATTGTTCATTGAATTATAGAGCACATGATAAAATATACTCCCTCCGTCCCAGAAAACTTTTTTCCTTTCTTTTTTCATCCGTCCCAAAAAACACTTCTCATTTTTATTAAAAAGTCACTTTTACCCCTTACTTTTTCATACCCTACCTATCACATCATACCTTTTTACAAATAATCTATCCATCAAATCATACTTTTTCTCATCACATCAAAGGACATTTTTGGAAATTTAATACCAAAATACACTTCCCTTAAATCTCTCTTCAAAATCAAAACTCTCATGTTTTCCGGGACGGAGGGAGTATATAAGAGATGAAAGTTATAGGGGTATAACAACAACAACCAATCAGATAAATCGTGCAAACAAATCTAATCCGATATACTGACACTGCAACTATAGCACAATCACAGGCACAGAGAACAAACACAGTGCTACAGCACTTTCTCATTCAATAGCACACACGCATTAAGTAATATAAAAGCAGTAAAGAAGGAACGAGAGTTATTTACGAGAGTTATTTACGCGGTTTGGAGTAACTCTCCTACATCTGCGGGGCTCATGTTTGTGTAACAACTCTTCCACTAAATCAACGTAAAAATTACACCTTCAATCACAATAGATTCTATCTAGTGTATTGAATTAATCTACGTACGAAGGATTTGACAACAAACTCTGTTTGTGTCAACTACTCCGGCTAGTTACACCAACTCTTATAACTCTGTTAGATAGACGTGCTATCAGCCCTTCTCCAGCACTTCATAGATCAACAACTGGATATCGAGTAACTCGTATTCAATATTGAGCATATGATCAAGAGAAAAAACTTTATGAGACTATGATTATATTGTTCATGCACAAAGCCTCATCCGAGTTACATGAGATGAGCCCTGCGCAATGCTTCCTTGATTCTCACAGTATTTTATGATGCACTCTCGTTCACTCAAACTCTATGTCTCACCTCAGAGCCTGCCTGCAAGGATGTGTATATATGGAGAGACGTGCAAATCCTAAGGGAGTCCTCATATGACTTGATAAGTTCGAAGGAGAGTCTTAGGAGTAAAAATATTAAAAATATACCAAAATAGGAGTTCCATATTTTTATTCACGAAATAGGAGTTAAAATGTATTTACATTACCAATCATGAATATGTACATTACCAAAAAAGTATGGTAAAATACTCATGTCCATTGTCATATTACCACAATGTCAACTCCTATTTTCTTTCTTTATGTTTTACTTCTATTTAGGACAATTTTTTTTTGAAAATCACGATGTAATACACAAAAACATACCTCTAAATCCTAAATGGATTTCGAAATAGGCAAAAAAATTTTAAGTCCTTAAGTTTACATTTAGAATTCTGAGAACTCCTTTCTCTGCTGCACACGATCGAGGATGGGTGGTTCTGGGCTGGTACTTTGCATGGAGGCTACAGTGTTAAGGATGGCTATAAGAGGCATGTTGGAGAGGTTGAAGCAGCAGCAAATGAGGTGAACTGGACACGTTGTTGGCATATCCCAGTTGCACCGAAAATCAAGGTTTGTCTATGGCGAGCTATCAAAAATATTTTGCCAACCATCTCTAACCTTAACACTAAGGGACTTAACATTGTGAATGTATGTCCTATTTGTGGTTTGGGTGAGGAGACGATTGAGCATTTATTCCTTCACTGTCCTTATGCGGTGACAATTTGGGCCCGGTTGGGTTTGCGTGTTATTCGTGAAGGGAGCATTTCGGCTCATGCCTGGTTTCGGGAGGTGGTGCAGACAACCTCTCGGTCAGAGTTGCAGCTGTTTGCTGTGGCTATTTGGGCGTTATGGAAAGCCCGCAATGCTGCAGTTTGGCGGTTTCAAGTTCCTACACCCTCGAGCACGGTATGTCTTGTTACTGAAACTCAAAAAAGTTGGTCTAGGAGTACTTCTAGTCGGGCGGTTGGGCTGCCTTTACCATCTCCTAGGCCGGTAAGATCAGGAGCTTTCAAATTGTTTGTGGATGCAGCTTTATTCCCCCCTTCTTCTATGGTTAGCTTTGGGTGTGTTCTCTTTAAACATGATGGCTCTTTTTTTGCTGCGTTGAATGGAGAATTAGTATGTGAGACTGATCCAGGTTTAGCGGAGGCGATGGCATGTAGAAGGGCTTTGGGTTGGGCAAGGGAGCAAGGACTTACGGAGTTGGAGGTGTTCTCGGATTGCTCTAGGGTTGTGGATGCAATAAATGGAGAGTCTACTTTTTTGTCTCATGTTGGTTCGATTATTAGTGATTGTCGAGGCTTGTTATCTCAGTTTAATTATGCTACTTTGTCATTTGTCCCTCGAACATCTAATGTGGTAG